TAATTTTTAACCTGGTAAAAGATATTACATAACATTTTATTCATTTATTTCTGAGAGTATTTTAAATACATAACATAAAGAATAAAGTATTACTTGTGTATTTTACATTAAGAATGAGGCATATAGTAATTTAGACTAAAGTGTACATGTGATAAATATATGTCACGTGCCTGCTTAATTTATCTCAATTCAATTTCATCAGGTATAAATGGTGTAAGCAACTAACACTATATTTTAGAAGAACTGTTTTATTATACATACTTCAACTTTATAATGACTATTATCTTAATAGTCATTATATTAATAGTAAGAATTACGCAAGGCTACTTGTAAATGATTCCTAGTTTCCTCCACTGTATTTTATTTTTCTAGTACCTTGGCTATTCTCTTTATTTAACTTAGATCAATGATTGCTTCAGCAAAGTTACCTAGTTAATGTCAATACACCTTTGGCACTAAGGTCTCTAATATATACATTACTTTATCCTGATAAAATTCGCTGAGTACCTACTATGGGCCAGGAACGCGTCCTGAATGTAGAGAGATGGAATGTGGGTGACACAGCTGCTATCTGAGGTGGTTCAAGGAGAAAATCAGTGGCACAGACAAGTCAAAGGTGACCTCATGAAACTTCTGAAAGTACATTCATTTAAATAAACATTTTTGAACCATTTGAAACAGAGCATATGCAAATGATGTGAGAATGCAATTTCGTGCATCATCTGCGTTTAGGACCAGCGTGCATCTCAACATTGCTGTCCTCTGCAATGCCACGTGCACCAAGGGAACAATACATTTTTTTATTATGTCAAAGAATGCAACTATCTTTCTTTTCAGAAAGTGTAAATGAGTTACTCCTCTGCCTATATAAAATACTATTAGTGTTGAAAAGTAAACTGAATTTTCATATTCAGGATGGTAAGGCTGAGCACAGAAACACAGGATTTGAGTTAAAGAACAAATTTTGAAAGTCAAAAGATGAGCAAATAGAGACTTTTGGAGAGATTTACCTCCCAGACGGTTAAGTGTTAGTATGTCAAATGGAGCATCAAACTTGCAGCCAGGCCAGGTGCACAGTGGGCTCGTGCCTGTCCTCCTAGCACTCTGGGAGGCTGGGGAGGGAGGATCGCCTGAGCTCAGGTTTTGGAGACCAGCCTGAGCAAGAGCGAAACCCCGTCTCAACCAAAAATAGAAAAGTTACTCTGGCGTTGTGGCAGGTGCCTGTAGTTCTGCTACTCAGGAAGCTGAGTCAGGAGGATTATCTCTTGAGCCCGAGAGTTTGAGGCTGCAGTGAGCTCAGCTGACGCCAGGGCACTGTACCCAGGAGGGCCACAGAGTGAGCCTACCTCTCCAAAAACAAATGAAATGTGTAGACAGGTATTTGTATACAAAGTATCTGTGTGTATTAGGTAAGATTCTTTACTGAGGAGGGCAGCTGTAGAACATAATTTCAGGGTTCCTCTTCTCTGCTGTAAAATCCCCCTTTTAGTACACGAAATACCCCCATCTGGACCTCACCATGTTGCTCTGAATGGTGAGGAACTGATGTGGTTGTGGCTCTAAGAAATACCGGTGTGTCCCAATCCAGAAACCTTGCATTTATTTACAGGGCACAATAAAAACTTAAAAATTTTTCAATTAGGGTTCAGGAGATAAAAATAACCTTGGAAACAGAACTTTCAGATCAAGTCGCCTCAATAGTCCATAAGTGATCTTATTTGGCAAAGACAATACACTCATCTTCTTCATCATTTTCTCCTAATATTCAGGAATAATCAAAAGTGAAGGTAGTTTAGAATATAAGTGTAAGACAACCCCTGGAAAACAGAAATAAAAATCACTTACTTGATATTATCAAGACAGCCTGATTCAGGTTTCAGGATGGCAGTGTGATGAAACATTTTATATAAAGCAATCCCGAGGAAGATTACATTAAGCTGGAAAGCAAAAGGTAGTGTTATGTAGCATAATTGGGGAATGAAAAAAAAAAAAAGAAACAAGTCTATTCTCTGTAACAGATGAGTTGTTCTGGGAAATTAGCTCTCACTGCACTTCTAAAGGAGTTGGATCAGGGATGACGGCCTCATGTTCAGTAAAGGCAAAAAGCCAGTTTTGGGAATTGGGATACCACCGGGCCACAAAGCACCGCTCTGCCAAATCATATAAAGACAAAATCGACTGCAGTTGGAATGATGCTATGGAAATGTTGAAACAACTCAAAGTCCAGTATATTTAAAAAAAATAAAAACAAGAAATAATAATCGTTCTTGGTGTGTTGCTGTTTCTACACTCTGAACATTGCTCCAGATTTATCACTTAGGGATACATTTTCAAATAGTACATCAGAGAAGCAGAAATACTAACATCAATATATTTTTGTATAACTAGTTCAAAAAGATTGTAGAACGCTGGTTAAGTTCTGATACTACAAGGAGCTAGGATCAAAGCAGAGGAAATCTCCAATGTTACTATTCTATCTCTAGGACCAGAAAGAACCTATGAATTACAGCAAAACGAAACAAAAAGTCCAGTTAAATTCTATATACTATGTGCGTGTAAACTGTTACTAAACCGCGTGTTGAATTGCCTGGGGCCATCCGATTAGTTTATAATTTTCACTCTCTTAACTGAGTGGGATAGTATATACTTAAAAGACCCATCATGGG